TTCCACTGCTGTGGTACGTCCCCCGTCTACCACACGTCCACGACAGTGGCGAGGAATTCGCGGAGGAGACCTTGATCTCCGTCCAGAAAAAGCTTATCAGCTCAGCCGGTAGGTCGTCCGGCCCGACGGTCTTTCCGTTGGCCATTTCCCGCACCGCTTTCTCAACCTCAAGTAGAGATGGGATGTCGTCGAATGGCACGTACGTAGGCCACCGCTTGACCTGTCAGCCGCATGCAGGTCGATGGTTGGCGACTTGGTGTTGAGAAGCTTGTGGAACCACCATGCCCACCGTTGGCGAATAAACGTGGGGTCCCGAAGGACCCTGCCGTCCTCGTCCTTGATGTTCCGAGAGGTGAACGACCTCTTACCTTCGACGTCGATCATCTTCAGGTGCCTGTAGAAACCCGCCTGGTCCCCCTCGCGGCTCTTCTTCTCGAGCTGCCGTACATAGCCCTCGAAGAACGTTTCCAGTGCTTTCCACCTCGCGATGCTGCGCTTCTTCCGCGCCGCCTTGAGCATCGCCTCCAGGGTCGCCTCGCAGGCGCTGTTCTTTGAGGCCTCACGCAGTTGCTGCTGGGCCGTCTTAATCTCTTCAGACGCTTCGGAGATCTACAAGCCGAAATTGAAGCCAACAGGATCAACGAGGGTGAGGTCACCTACGCCCAACTACCAGCCGTCAACCCAGTCCCACCTACTGGCAACCAGCCATCACCCTCCAGCCAAGGCAAAACAGCCACCTTCAACGGCCCCAGCAGTGTCGCATACATCGTGGCGCAAACGGCTAAGGCGACAGCTGAGGCCATTGCCGAGCTACAGGGCTTTGCCCGCTCAGGCACGTTACGTGTCAATGCTTGCTCAGAAATAGAACCTTGGTTTGGTAGCGTGAAGAATGAGCAGGACTTGTATGTCATGTTCGATATTTTTCGTAGTAAGATGATTTCATATTTTCAGGAGGAGGGTGTGCATGATGCGTTCTAACTGGAGGTCGAGGTCAAGGTCGGAAAGAGGGGTGTGAATGTAGCAGAGCTCCGGAGACTTTTTGGCAATGATGTGGTAGACAAGTCTTTCAAGCTATGGAATATTCTCATCAGCAAGGTTTTGTACCCCCCGATTCAGAGGTTGATTCTGGCATGTGAGAGTCCACAAAAAGGCTGGAAAATAGTGACAGAGTTCTATCAGGAGAAGAAGCAGTCAGGAAAGTCGAGGTTGGAGCAGGACTGGAAGGAGTTGGAGATGAAAGCGTCTGAGAGTCCACAGGACTATATTGCCCGGGTAGAAGCCCTTCGCTTGCGTCTAGCGTCTGTAGGCATGATAAAGGATGAAACAGATGCCAACAACGACATTGCTCGTGGCCTTCACTCTTGGTATGTCGTGCAGAGAGGAATACTGCTTGCCCACGATGTCCTGACGTTGCGTACCCTTGAGACTGTGGTGAGGGACGCCCACGGGGAGATGGAGCGCGAGAGGAGCAAGGGGGAGAGGCGCGAGGTGGAGCTCGCTCTCGCCGCGTCCGGCATGGGCAGGCGCGGCGGGCGCAGTGGGGGGGCATCCGGGGGTCAAGACGGCGGTCATGCAGCAGCTGGCGGCCAAGATAGAGACGGAGAGGAGAAAAATGGTGATGTGTTCAACGACGACCCCTACGGATTTTGCCGCTACCACCAGTCCGAGCTTCACACCAACGGGCAGTGCCGTTTCCAGCGGCAACTGCGGCGAGGGGCTCGAGAGAGGGCGCCGAGGAACGCCGCTCGGGGGGCGGCAGCCGCGGTGGCGGCGGTAGCTAGCGAGGGGGTAGACCGCCGCCGGGGCCCGGCTGCGGTGGCGGGCGATGGGTGAGGATTGAAGGGCAGCAGCACCATACCGGTCATGGTGGCGGCGGTTGGAGCCAAGCCTCGCCCCCCTCGCGACCTCTTCGTGGACGTGGGCCTAGTGGTCGTCTGGGGCGTCACCCGGGGGGTCGTGGGCCCGCGGGACGCCACAGCAGCGACGGTCGTGCCGAGACGGTCGTGCCGAGAGGAAGCGGGCAGGGAGAGGCCCGGGGCACGTGCATTCTGGCCACGGACGAGAACAGGCGTACGTAGCGTACCACGCCCACGACGACGGTGGTTACTACGAAGACTACGGCGACTACGATGACGGATACTATTGCGACGACGGCTACTACGACGCCGGTTACGCACACTACGCCAGCGGTGGGGACCGCCACCGCTACTCCTCCGGGTACGAAGACAGCCGCTCATCTGACGGCGGCATCCACTACGTCTACTACCCTCCCGCTGGCGAAGATTCGTCATTCGAGCAGCCACGTCAGCCCCCCCCGCGAGCAGCAACACCACCGCGTCCGCCTCGTCCTCAACTACTTCTCCTGGCGAGCCTCCATCTTCGGGCTACCTCCACCTCTGCACGGCACAATCGGTGCCCATAGGCAAGTCTCACCCTGAAGATTTTTCAGTAGGATAGGAGTGACGATTAGAGTAGAGTCTGCTGCCCTGCTTCGTCTTTGCTGAGTGNCACCGCTTCCTCCTCGTCCTCTACTCCTTCTCCTGGCGCGCCTCCATCTTCGGGTTACCTCCACCTCTGCACGGCACAATCGGTGCCCCTAGGCAAGTCTCACCCTGACGATTTTTTCAGTAGGATAGGAGTGACGATAGGAGTAGAGTCTGCTTCTAGTGCTTCGTCTTTGCTGAGTGTGAAATCTAGTGAGGGGCCGCCTGGTAGCGAGAGATGGGTAGCTGACTCAGGAGCCAGCAGCAGTTTCACCAACATCAGCCTACACATGTATGACCTGCAAGAGATCCCCTCCAGTAGGAAGTATGTCGTTGTAGGTGATGGTCGACTGCAAGAAGTGCAAGCCATCGGTGGTAGTAGTCTTCGTTTCTTTCAGGAGGATGAGAATGGTGAGAATACGACGATGTGTGTGAAGCTCACTGACGTGTCTGTTGTAGAGAGCTCGAGCTTCAACTTGTTCTCAACGCATGCTGCTTCTCTGAAGCAACCAATCCTCTACGACGAACGTGGTGCAACCCTACAAAATGGACTGCTCCTTGCTAGAGAGGAAAACGAGTCTGCAACGTATGCAATGCGGTTGCCGTACGACCCATCTGCGACTATTGTAGACCTNTAGTACCTTCGAGTGAGAGCGTCCCGCCCACTGGTCCAACCAGTGTAGTACCTGCGAGTGAGAGCGTCCCGCCCGCCGGCTATGCCGACGTAGTACCTTCTTCGGCTTCCGGTTTTGAGTGTGTGGGTACTTTCCCGGGTATGGATCTTGGAGATACGAGTGTGCTCACCGACGAGCAGCTCATGGATGGCTATGATGACACCCCACATCAAGATTTTTTCCCCGTATTTATCCCAGAGAGTGACGCTGCGAATGTGGCTGGTGTTTTGGATAGCATCGATGGGGTTGCTGATTTTGACTTGGCTGCGGCCGCGCTTGGCCNGCCGACGTAGTACCTTCTTCGGCTTCCGGTTTTGAGTGTGTGGGTACTTTCCCGGGTATGGATCTTGGAGATACGAGTGTGCTCACCGACGAGCAGCTCATGGATGGCTATGATGACACCCCACATCAAGATTTTTTCCCCGTATTTATCCCAGAGAGTGACGCTGCGAATGTGGCTGGTGTTTTGGATAGCATTGATGGAGGTTCTGATTTTGACTTGGGTGCGGCCGCGCTTGGCCCTGGTGCGTCCCCGTTCACTCTTGGATCGACTGAAAAGTCCGTTGACATCAACCGCTTCCACCGCTCCCTTGCCCGCGCTTGCGAGCCTCTTCTGAGAGAACTGCCCAGCGGAGAGGCATCGTGCTCACGGGCAAGCTGGAACCGTGCACGGACTGCATGAGGGCAGGAGAGGGTCGGTGCCGCGGGGGCCAGGAGCGCGGGCGTCTAAGCCCCTCGGGCGTGTTCACCTGGACCTGTGTGGACCGCTGGTGCCTTCCCTGGGCGGCAACCTCTACCTGTTCGTCGCCGTGGACAGCGCCTCGCGGTGGAACAAAGTCTACGGTCTCCGGCGGAAGTCCGACGCGCTGGCGGCAACGAAAAGGCTGCTGGCGGGTGTGGGGCGGTACGACCTCGGGCGCATCAAGTGTTTCCGCGTCGACAACGGCACCGAGTGGACCCGCGGCGACTTCCGGCGCTTCTGCGACCACAACGGCATCGGCGTCGAGTTCACACCTCCTGGCGTTCCGCAGTACAACGGCGTCGTCGAGAGCGCCATCTGGCGCATCATGAAGGTCGGCATGGCCGCTCGCCGCAGCGCTGGCCGTGTGTTCAACGTCGACTTCGCCTCCATCCCCGGCCTCGACGAGCGCGGTGACCGTCTTTGGATGGAATCGGCGAAGTGGGCCGCCGACGCTCTCAACCAGTCGGCGACCAAGGCCAACCCCGGGCGGCGCTCGCCGCACGAGATGTTCACCGGCGAGCAGGGGCCGTTCCGCGTGCTGCCGTTCTTCCAGCCCGGCTTCATGCGCGAGGACCGCCGCACCAAGCTCGACGACCAGGCCACGCTCTGTTACTACCTGAACGGCGGCGACAACCACCCGAGCGGCACCGTCAAGGTCCTCAAGGCGTCCACCGGCCGCGTCGTCTACACCAACAACGTGTCGTGGGTGACGTCGGCGCCAGCCGGCGAGGGGGGTTCCGCTGGTATCACCACTGCACCGACACCCCCTCCGTTCACGCCGCCGGTCGTGTCGATCGACTTTGGCCCAGCACCGCCACCTTCGACCGCCGCACCGCCGCCGCCAGCGACCACGCCGTCGCCCGCTTCCGCTTCCGCTGCCGCTTCGCCCCCTGCCGCTGCCCGCTCCCACGCCTTCACAGCCGCCCTCTGCTACTTCGCCGTCACCGTCGGCGACCCTCGCTCCTGGCCAAACGTCCTCTTCCGCTTCGCCGTCACCGTCGGCGACCCCTGATCCAGACCAGCCGCCGTCGCCGTCGGACCCCGAGATGCCCCCGCTTACGACTCACGCCATGCGGCAGCGTCGCTCGGGTACAAAGGCCGAGGGTATGACAGACCCGCGGCTGCCAAGCCGCACGAGATCGGGCACAAGGCACAGCACAGGACTTATCTCGCTGCTCGACAAGAAGACTCTGGTGTCGATGCTGGAGGCTCGGAGCGCGGTGGATGAGAAGCGCAGGGAGCCGGGGGGAGCGTGGGCCGGAGAGCAGGGGGGAGCACTCGCAGCGGCGGACCCGGAGACTGGAGACGCGGGCTTTCCACCCTCATTTGCCACGCTCCTCGCCAACCGGGAAGACATCGACGCCACGCTGCGAGACCAGCGCCCGCTAGAGCAACGCCCTGACCTTCCCCACTGCCAGGCCAGCGACCTTGGTGTTCCAAAGAGCTACAAAGAGGCCATGGCGTCGGAGCACCGGCACCTGTGGAGCGACTCTATGCAATGGGAGTTTCATGGCTTGTTGGAAGCGGGGACTTTTACTCCGGCGAAGTAGCAACTAGTAGAGGACGCAATTTACGCTAAGTGGGTGTTCGATTGGAAGGCAGATGAGTTTGGATGGCCCACTTTTGAGCAGTGCATGGCCGATGCTTGTGTGTTTCGTTTGATTGAGGATGGATGTGTTGTTTTGATTTTGGTATTACATGTGGATGGCATTTTTGTTGTGGGAGAGAGAGTGAGATGTGACAAGTTTGACGCCGACCTTGACAAGGCCGTGCCAGTGAAGAACCTGGGAGAGTTGAGATGGTATTCTGGGTGCTCTTACGAGAGGAACAAGGAGACAGGTAGGTTGACGATTTCTCAGCAGACTTTCACGGATGAGCTAGCAGCAGATTATGGAGTAGTGGGAGGTAAGAGCGTTCCGATGCCTTCGGGGGTGAAGCTTTCTGATTTTGATGCTGATTTTGATGCGGATGAGGTGGCGACAGACTTTCCGTTTCGTGAACTAGTCGGATCTTTGATTTGGCTGGCGACTCAGACTAGGTCAGATGTTGCGAATGCAGTAAGGGCAGTAGCTAGGTATTGCGCATCTCCGAAGTTGGTACACTGGAATGCAGCGATGGATATTTTAGGGTATGCGAGGAGGACGAGTCACTTCGGTATTTCGCTTCAGAGAGGTACAGTAGAGGGTTTCAGTTTGCAGGGGTACGCTGATGCGGACTTTGCAAGCAAGGCAGCAGAACGTAGGCCGGTATCAGGGGGGATCGTCACGTGTGGAGGAGGCGCTGTGTCTTGGTTTTCCGGAACACAGAAGAGTGTTATGCTTTCGACGACAGAAGCAGAGGACGTCGCGCTTGGTGACGTAGTGAAGGAGATCATATTTTTGAGGCAGATTTGGCGTTTCATGTTGCCGCAGGTCGGCATGCCGTGCATCCCAGTCTTCGAGGACAACCAGGGGGCGATTCAACTAGCGCAGAACCCCATCTCAAACTCGAACTCGAAGCACATGAATGTAAGGCACCATTTTCTCAGGGAACTGGTAGAGAGGAAGGAAATTTCGGTGATCCACGTGCCGCCGCCATACCAGCGTGCAGACTTTCTGACGAAGAGTTTGTCGAAGGATGCTTTCGAGTCTCACCGTGATTTTGTGATGAATTTGGCATGAACATTTATTGTTTTTCTGATGGGTTGTGTGTTGGTTGTGTTTTCATTTTCCGCGCCAAGTATTCACTACGCGCGATGCAGCATTCATTCATGTTTCTTTGAACGATTTTTATTTCATATACTTGGTCTAGTCTTGATGGCATAGCCTATTTTCTTGACAAGACATCTTTTGGTTGAGATATCGGATGTTAGCGAAGTTTGCAGTGAGAAACTGTTGCGAGCAGGGGGAATGTTAATGTACTCGCAGCAGTATCTGGTCGTGAGGATCCCACGGGGATACATACGTGTTGGGAATTTCGTGTGTTGAAGGGTACCACCGGCGCAGTCACGGGGACCCTTTGGGCGTGGTCGGTGCGACGATGAGGCTTGCGTGCGTGTTGCGCACTTCCTTCTTCCTTCTCTCCTTCCACCGCTACCGCCGTCTCTCTCAAATCAAGTTTCCTTCTCCCACTCTCTTTTCACCTCTCTCTCAACCTCTCTCTCTCGGCCTAACACGGCCGACTCCCAGGACGGGCTTCCTGCACCCCGCGTAGTTTAAAAAGACCTCCAACGCGTTGATTCCTTCGGTTCGGCTGTCTATACATGTATGATACCATCTTCCGGCGCCGTGCTGCTTCGTGGGCATCGGATGCTTGGGTGCTGCTCAATAATGTGTGTGAGAGACGCACCTCACCAAAATGCCGCTGGAAAAAATGTGGCGAGATGATCTGTTGTTCGTCGCACACGTCAACTTCAATCCACGGCACCACGCAGCAGAAGAGCAACAGGGCCTCCGACACGCTAATTCTTTCAGATTGGCCATCTATATGATGCTGGCCGTCAGCGCGGCTGCCGCCCTATGATTGTTGAGCTCGTCTACCTTTGGGCAGTTGGTGGTCGAAGATGGGAGTCGCAACGGTGAAAAATGAGGTGGTAAAAAAAAGAAATCGTAAGAAACACCCAGGTTGCGACAATCTGCCCTGTGCCTGTTGTTGCTGAAAACTGAAAACAGCAGGCCGGGTGGATAGGATCTTTCTATTTGTGCCGTCCTCTGTGTCGGGTGCTGCTGAATACGCTTTTACGGTTTCTCTCAACACCAAATCAATCTGTTGTGTGCCGAGCAAAGCGTGTATTCAGGGAAGGAAACGTACTTTTTGCGATGATATCACGAATAGAACAAGCGAAAAAAAGGCGGGTTTTCTTTTCACCATTCCGTGGAAAATTGCACGACTTGTCCGAAGCGTTAATAACGAGCCGAAGTCGCAGCAGAGAGGTACTTCGGAGCGTTCGTTCGTGTGTGCGTGCGCCACCGATTAAAAAAAATCCATCCCACAACCAATCATTGACCTGGCAAAAGTACGGCATTACTTCGGGCACTACCCCATTACGCCTCTCCCCCCACCCAAGTGGGTTGAAAAGCGGGAAGGGATATCGTTAGGATAGACAGACTAAGGAAGGAATTTTTGAGTCACCTTTGGCAAAGTAGGAGGAACGATTGGCCATCGGCGATCGGTCCTGTGGGAACAATGCACTGTCCTCTCGAGGACGCGTGGTCAATGGTCTAACCGCTAAGGCGTGCAAACATTAGAGTACGCCCCCCCCCCGGTGTTTGCCATCGGGGTTGGGTTTTCGTCGCTTGGCAACGACGTTNATGATCGCACCACGTCGTGTTAAAATGGTCAAACACCCTCGAGGCAGTTACACAGTGCTGATAACTGTCTCGGAANCCCCCGGTGTTTGCCATCGGGGTTGGGTTTTCGTCGCTTGGCAACCACGATATAAAACAAGCCAATTCACTTCGTGAACTCGGCAACCAGGTGGCCGTTATTTTTTGGCAGTAACCAAAATGGTGGTTGAGTAGATCATGTTGTGCAGGTTAAAGAAGCCTCACTCCGCGCAAGGGGGATGATCGCACCACGT